TTTTTAATTCAATTTTTGCAAAACCATTTTTTACATGTGGCCAATTATAATTCGGCCACGTCATTATTATTATTATAATAAAAAATTAAAATTTTGAAAAAATAATGACGTGGCCGAATTATAATTGGCCACGTGTAAAAAATGGTTTTGTAAAACCACCGTTAAAAAATAATGGCATGAATGAGCCTTTTCTTAAACGGTAATGGTATAGATGAGCCAAATTTTTAACGAATTGCATAAATGAGCCTTTTCTAAAAGTTCGATGGCATATTTGAGCCTTTTCCCATTATAATATAATATGTTATAGTAGCTTGGTCAAATAACTGATAGTATATATGTTCTGTTTACAGTTTCGTATGTATATTTTAATATCTTCTTCTTTATGGTCTAATCTAGAATAATATAATAATATGAATTACTTCTTTATTTCCAGCTGGTATAAAAATAATCAGTTCTATATCTTTTATTTTTCTGACCTCCCTTGTCCTTCGATCATCAATGAAGTTTATATCACATTTTATCTTTTATCTTTTATCACTACAAGAAAAACTTCCTATAAGGAAGGGAAATCTCGTCCCTAAATGTCCAGATCTGGTCGCAAATGGCCCTATTACGACGGGACAATGCTGGTCGCCACCCGTCCTAAAAGGCTTCTTCGCTAAAGATTAATTGGGACGGGTTGCTATAGCTGGTCGCGAAATGTTATTAGAGACGACAACTTATACAGTCGCTAGTGTACTTTTAGGGACAATAAATCCCGTCCCAAATAGAAATTTTCATATTTAAAAAGTAGATATTTGCGACCGTTAATTATTTTTGTGATGAGTAAGTACCTGGTCCTAAAATACTCTATTGCGACAAGCAACCAGCTCGTCCTGGAATAACTTTAGAGACAAGAAACTACTTTGTCCTTGATTAACGGTTAAAAAGAGCAATTAATTAACTAGCCCTAGATTAACATTAGAATGAAACAATATTCTTGACTCTAATGTACCGCCAATGGTACATCAATTTCATATCATAAAATGAATAAATTTCATCAGTGAGAATATAATTTCTACTAACAAAATATTCCATACAAAATTTGCTCAGTGAAAAATACTTAATCAACTAACATCCCAAGCTAGAGTATGTTAAGTTTTACATAAGTTTCTTAGCAAAATAATAATGAGCTTGTGCATCTTCTAAACTTTAAACTTGACTTGTAATTTCAATCTACAAAAATCTGTAAGAACAAGATTTTGCAATGATGATAAGTAACTATTAGATAATATATGTAAACTTACACTAGAAATAGTTAAAGCGCTCACCGCAAAAGTGTACAATTCATCAATTCTCCAGAAACATCAACAAGCTACAATAACATAAGAAAATTATTAGAAAAGCTTTTTGATGCATCAATCATAACATTTGATGGATTCGTCATATTGAACTCCAAGAGTGTAATCGCTTGGAACCGCGATACGAAGAACTAACAGAAAATGCACTTGAAACTACAAATTCAAAACTTCAACTTTCCAGAAACATGTCTACATATGTTACTTGGACTTGTTTTACTGGTGACCTTTTCCTCTTCTACATAGGTGAGGTCTGTGCAACTTCTATTAGAATGTTTTAGGGAATTTTCATAAGCTTCACGATTATTGCTAACTTGAAGAAAAGCTCAACATACTTTGGTGAGGTCAATAATGGTATCGAGACTATCTCAAAATAGAGGTGCAAGTGAGAAATTCGATTTAGCTATCACAGTAGTGTTTAAACCAGCTTTTTTCCTAATGAATCAGATCATATACAGTTAGTAGTGCTCATTTTATCTAGAATTGATATAATAGCTTTATGGATGTCTAGTTAAATGTCTGGATTTTTCCTAATGAATCAGATCATATACAGTTAGTAGTGCTCATTTTATCTAGAATTGATATAATAGCTTTATGGATGTCTAGTTAAATGTCTGGATTTTTCCTAATGAATCAGATCATATACAGTTAGTAGTGCTCATTTTATCTAGAATTGATATAATAGCTTTATGGATGTCTAGTTAAATGTCTGGATTTTTCCTAATGAATCAGATCATATACAGTTAGT